CTCTGGATGCCTGCGTGCCCATTGCCTTACCATAGTGCTGAAATTCTACGGCCCATACACCTCCTCTTCCTCCTCCTATTGCAGCTCCTCCTGCACCCCCCCTCCACGCCCTCCCCTTCCTATTCCTTCTTCCTTGTTTTTCTCATTCTACCCCGCATCCTTCGTGAGATCGAATATAGCGTCTGGGTTACATTCTGGTCCAATCAGGCATCACAGTCAGCACGCTCAGCCGGAAACGCGTGCGCACAAACACTTAATGTCAAACTCTGCTGGTTGTCTTTTCCATCGGCATCGTTGTTACATGCCTCTTGCGATGAGGGAGAAGACAATGATGATGAGGAGAAGGCTGATGATTACTAGAAGGAGGAGGAGGAGGAGGAGGAGGGTGAGGAGGAGGAGGAGGAGGAGGAGGAGGAGGAGGAGAAGGATGAGGAATGATACCCCTGTCCGCCAGCGTGTCAACCTCCACACCCCAGAGGAACGAACGAACGAACTCCACCATGGCCGGGAAGCCCAACATCTCTGCAAGGGTGGCATGCGGCCCGTAGCGCGCAGGCCTTCTACGAATGCCTTTGGGATCGGAATTGGAAAGATGTAAGCCTCTCTCGATACGCGCGGTCAACGCCATACGTGCCGGACAAGGCGCTGCTCGCACTCCTGCCGTACTGACTGGTTCGACACCGTGAGCGTAGGTGAACGTAGGAAGGCAGGAAAGCACCTGTAGGTGAACGTAGGACATCAACGTAAGACTTACGTAAGATGAGGAGGACTCGTACACGTCGTTCATTTCTAATCGTGCTCATTTCTAATTGTGCTCGTTTCTAATTGTTCCTGGCCCCCTAGTGACCAGGAAGAGGCCCAGGACAGAACAATTAGAAATGAAAGGATCTTGGCCCCCCAAAATCAAATACCTTCCGAACATGTGTACTTCTGCTCGCTAGCATGTCTTCCTTCTCCTCCTTCGTTGCTGGCCCTTCCCTGGAGGCACAGCGGAAGCGGAGGAGGGGGCAGGTGACGAGGAGGCAGAGAACATCGAAGAACTGGTATGCTATCCCTTCGACTAGTATCTCCTCCTCCTCCTCCTCTTTCCATCTGCCCGTCTGTGCCTCACCCGTTCTTCTCTGTCAGCCCTCCCTCTCCTTCTCTCTCACCCTCTCCCTCCCCACCTCCTCCCAGTCCCTACCTCTCCGTCTAGGTCGGATCCAAGGCTGGCGGCCCCCCTCAAATTCTCGTGGGATCGCCCCAACCCCCTCCCTCCCCCGATGGATGGGTGCGCCCGCGTTCCCCGCGAAGGCCTCGCGAACGGGATCGCCCCCCTGCCCCCCTTGTGGTCGTGGCCCTGTGGGCGTGGCGTGGTGGAGGGGGGTGGCCTGTGCCCCCGCCCCTCCCCCTGTGGGTGTGGGGTGGTGCTGCGGTGCCGTCGTCGTCGTCGTCGTCGTCGTCGTCGTCGTCGTCGTCGTCGTCGTCGTCGCCGTCGTCGTCGTCGTCGTCGTCGTCGTCGTCGTCGTCGTCGTCGCCGTCGTCGTCGTCGTCGTCGTCGTCGCCTTGCCCTCCCATCCCATCTGGGGGGGGGGGGCCTGTGGAACCCTGGGGCCCTTCTCATCTGGGGGGAGGGCCGTGAACCCTCGACCCGGGATCATGTATCTCCCCGTTCTCCTTCCCTCCCTTTCCCCTTCTCTGGCCCTGTCCCATTCCCTTTCCCCCTCCCTGTATCTGAACATTATTCTCTCCTCTCTCTTCCTCTCCCGAAAATGGCAGGCGAGAAACCTGCCCTCTCCGCGTATTGTGTGTTCACCCACCAGATTTCAAACATAGGTCTTGTCAAACATTCTTCAATCGGAACTTGAAGTTCCGATTGAAAAAGTCTTCGGTGTCTCAAATTGGTGCTGCCGCTGCTGCGGTTGCCTCGCTTTAAGATTGCTCCAGCGCGGGCCACTTTTCTGGATCCGAGTCCTTCCTCATCGTTGTGGCCCCACTCCTTTCACCTTTCTCCGCCTTCCCCTGGTCTTCCTGCTCATCGAACTCCTTCCGCTCCAATTCCGCAGCTGCTGTTCGTGCTTGTCCTCCTCCTCCTTCCTCCTCCTCCTCCTCTTTTTCCTCCTGCTCATTCGCCACCTCCTCCTCCCCATCACCCTCCTCCTGTCCACGCAGCTCCCCTTTTTCGGATTGCGCATAACACGATGGGGTTGGTTTGGGAATTCCAAGTCCGCTGTGACACGCGTCTGCAGATAGAGAACAAATCAGCGCAATGGAAAGGGATGGGTCGTGGGGGTCCAATGTCAGATATGGCGCCAGCGCGACTAGCTTGTGTGGAAGATGTCTCAGGCCAGGCCGGTGGCGACACCCGCAGTTCTCCTCTTCTCTCTTTTCTCTCACCTCTCTGTGCGTGGCCCTCAAGGCGCACGCGTCTCTGTGGAGTGTCCTGCGGCCAAGTGCCCTGTGCAGACGCCATTCCACAGGCGGTGTGTATCTGCTGACTAGCTGTCTTGCTCGTTCATCACTCTGACAGGTTATTTCTTCTGCAGCGCCAATCGAAAGACGGCGCAATAGCTTCAGGTGATGGGACGGTCCGTTCTGCCCGTTCCGACCGTTGCAGCGCCACCAAAGGAAGGCGCCAACACTTCTGGAGATGTGACGGTGTGTCTTGCCTCTATGTGCCGCAGCGCCACTTGCAGGATGGCGCTCTGCATCATATTCCATGACGCATCACAATTCTCTATGCGACCATCGTTGACTGTCTCGGTTGGAAGCTGAATTGGCGACATTGCAAACGCTGGCAGGTCCACTTTCTGCGCCGGTGGGAACATCCGCAGCGTCCTCGTCGCCTTGGCTGGACGCTGCGATACGCCGGTTTTTCAACGAACCCAGCGCGAAAAAGACTTCTCGATATGTCCTCCATTGTCAAGGTTCTCTCTCTCTCTATAATTCTTTCACGTCGTCTTGCGTCGGGGGGAGAGTTTGCTCTCCGCCTCCCCGCAGGTGCACGTCGACGCCCTCCTCTTCTCGCTTTCTGCTGTCCTTTGCTATCTCCATCCATCAATTGCTTCTCTCCCGCCATCCATGTGCGCATGTTGTCACCACGCGCGCATTTATTTTGGAGCGATTGCTGGAAGCTGCGTCATACCGAACGGTCTTCGTTTAACATTTTGATGCATCTGAACGCGTGTGCATTGCTTGCGGAAAGAAGATCCGTGATCGTTTGTGGAATGCCAACGCCCTGGCAGAGTTGTATGATGTACGGGCCCAGACCTGCAGGCTGGTGATCCCGACTTCGGCTTACGATTTCGCCTCCCTCGAGGCCCGAAAGGTATGGACGGCGGCGGGCCTCATACAGGACTAGCACTTCGTTCCCCTAATCGTGAAGAGTAGCCCCAGCTGGCGGGGGCGCCTGGTGTCCAGGTATTTGCTACTTGTCACTTCTCCCAGGTTCGAAAAGAGATTCGTGAATCAGAGATGCTGAAAAAGGCACGGGCTGCGGACTTCCTCGCCCGTTTGGACCGCGTGCAAGTCGCACGGTGCACGTCGCGCCAGGCAGCCAGGGGCCGACTTCTGTACGCGCAGACGATTCCGACACGTCGATGGCAGGTGCCTATAGGTAGTCACAGCTGACCCATGACCTTTTGATTTGTTTTGTGGTTGATGGTTGTCGCAGTCACATTCAGGTTACTCTTCCTCGCAGAGCTCGCAGCATCCACAACTGCAGGTTGAGTCCTCGCGGTGGACCCCGCAGCAGCTCCGTGCAGATCCCTATTCTTCTTCTCTTGCAACGCATGGGCGCGGATGTCCCTCTTCGGGGGGGTCGTTCCCCCTTTCTCCCTTCCTCCTCCTCTCTTCCGGTCCCGCAGCCTCTGGGGCTCGTGAGAATTCACCTCCCCACGTCTCCCTGGAGTCGGGTCCGTTCCCTTCCTTTCGTTCCCCTTATTCTTGTTACAACTAAGGAACCTCTGCGGGGGGGCCACAACCCCGCAAACTGGCACCTCTCACCACGGAGCATTCAAAGACACGCTCGAGGTGGCCAGAGTCCGGCCCTTGTCGATAAGAGCAGCCCATTTTGGGCGGGGCCGGCACGCCCCTAATCGTTAAGAGCAGCCCATTTTGGGCGGGGGCAATGCTTTCCTCTATCTCCTTTCTTCTTCTTGTTTCCCTCTCTCGTGTGGTCTCGTGTCGGGGGGGGGCCGGCGGCGGTGTCGGTGCTCCCGCTCCTCAGGGCAGTTGAGCCTCTCGGAATCCAGTGGTTGAGCTCACATCGTTTCACGTTGTTTTGCTCATCGGCCCGAGCTCGCGCCCCTCGGGTCGAATGGGCAGTGCTCCGCCTCCTCACAGGTACACATCGATATGTTTTTCCTCATCCTTCTCTCCTCCTTTCTCTTCCTTTGTCCTGCCCCCCGCGAGTCGACGTGCTCAAGCTCTCGCGCGCTCTCACAATCCTGCTTTCCTTCTCGGTCGCTCCCGTCAGGTGCACATCTTGCACTGCAGCGCACTGCGCAGTGGGCAATTCAACCTATATCCGTGCTATTTTGACGTCGTGTACACATGTCAGATTTTCAATCTTCCGCCCCACAGGTGCACATGTTGACGCTTCTCTACCACCCTTGGAATGCTGTCGCTGTGAAGTCTGCCCAGCCAAGTCTTTTTCATCTTCTGTTTGCTTCCGCCACCCATGTGTCGTAAGGGGTGTGTGGGAGATGTCTCAGGCCAGGCCGGTGGCGACACCCGCAGTTCTCCTCTTCTCTCTCTTCTCTCACCTCTCTGTGCGTGGCCCTCAAGGCGCACGCGTTTCTGTGGAGTGTCCTGCGGCCAAGTGCCCTGTGCAGGCGCCATTCCACAGGGGGTGGGGTATACGCTGACTGGCTGTCTTGCTCGTTCATCCCTCTCACAACTTGCCCCTCCCTCTTTTTTGTTGTTGATTGTTTCCCCCCTCCCTCTCTCTCTCTCTTTTTGTTATTCCGTTGTTATATTTTTTTTTTTTTTCTCTCTCTCTCTCTCTCTCTCTGTCTCTTCACACACATCTACATAATCAACTTCGTCTAGTCTCGGCTAAAACATCCCTCGTGATCCTAGGCCAGGAGTCCGGCCCCCCGCTCACGAGCATGGCGAGACTGCCCCTGGAAAAACTTCGAGAAGAAGCAGCAACACTTCCAGAAGCTCCAACCGAACTTCCAGAAGGACCATCAGGACTTCATGAAGGACCGCTACCCGGCGACCTCATCAACGCCTTCATCGACGTCTACTCCATCGACATCGGGCACGGAGAGGCCTTCTGGTGATATCCCCAGTGGGCACCTGCCGGGCCACTCCCATCCAACGCCCACTCGATCATGACCGCATACCTGCCGTCGAAAACCAGATGGCGACCTGGGCAACCAATCGGCCATCGTTCAACCCTTCGTACATTGCAGCAGACAACTTGCAGGCCAATGGCGGGTCGCCGCCGACGACGACCGCGCCTCCCAGCCCCAAGCAGCCGCGGGAGAGCCCAGAGCCGAACCCGCAGAAGCTCGCGTCCACGTGAGGCGCCTCCCCTGCCGGGCACTGCGCCACGGTCATCAACCGGACACTTACTTGTTTTGTCGCAGCAGCGAGGGTCCTCGCCGGCCGCGTTCGAAGGCAGATGGGGGAAACACGTGGCTGGCCATCAACCCAACAACCAATCCCATCAACGGCTGGAAGGGACGTATGGTGGCCCCCTATCCGCCCCACCACACCGTCGTCCTCACCAATGGGATGGCTGCACATCTCTTAGGCTCCAGCCTGCGCGCGGCCCCGAAGCTGTTCCTTCCTCCCCCCCCTGGTGGCCCCTCTGGAGGCCTTGGCGACGCCTCCGACGGCCCGTCACGTCCCAAGCCAGCGCCCCTGTTCGGGCCCCTGCACACCTCCTTCCCGCTCAGCGGCGCCGTCCTCAGCTGAGGAAGCGGACCCAGGAAGGAGGAGGAGGAGGAGGAAGAGGAGGAAGAGGAGGAGGAGGAGGAGGAGGAGGAGGAGGAGGAGGAGGAATAATAATAATAATATTATTATTACCATTCTTATTACCATTCGTATCAATCATGCTAATCGTAATCATAATTCTATCGACAGTAATAAGACTAACTTATTACAGTAATACGACTACGAAGCATCTTTCTGAATACTCATATTAATAATACTCATACTTATGTTGATAACGATAGGTTTAATACAAATCTTAAGCTTAATACTAATATGATACGCATAGTAATTTTGGGAAGAATACAAGAAATAACATAATAACAAACAATTGCACTACCGAGGACCCCACATACTTATATTATGGCTGGAATGATGATAGCTAAAGTGAAGCATGTGATAATGATGTTGGTGGCCATTCCCTGCGCACCCCATATGGTGTCGAGAAAATGCCACGCCTGTTGCGCCCTGGACGACCAGCTCAGATAGCGGCCGCGCTCAGAAGATCACCACCTGCGGATCCCCGAAGGTTACGAGAATATGCCACGCCTGCTCCGCCAGCGTTCCCCTGTGCTCTGAACACAACCGGCACGTATAGCAAACTTGCGTACCAATGTGCCCTGAGCACCACCGTCACGGATAGAGGCCGCGCTCAAGGACCACCCCGTGCGCACCCCCTGTGGTGTCGAGAATATGCCATGGCTGCTACGCCCTGGACGACCGTCATGGATGTCAGCGCCATGGACGACCGGCACGGATAGCGACCGCGCTCAGGGACCACCCCCTGCGCACCCCCTATGGTGTCGGGAAAGTGCCACTCCTGCTATGCCCTGGACGACCGGCACGGATAGCGGCCGCGCTCAAGGACCACCCCCTGCGCACCCCCTCTGGTGTCGGGAAAATGCCACTCCTGCTATGCCCTGGACGACCGGCACGGATAGCGGCCGCGCTCAAGGACCACCCCCTGCGCACCCCCTCTGGTGTCGGGAAAATGCCACTCCTGCAATGCCCTGGACGACCAGCACGGATAGCGGCCGCGCTCAAGAACCACCCCCTGCGCACCCCCTCTGGTGTCGGGAAAGTGCCACTCCTGCTATGCCCTGCGCCATGACCCGCGTAGACGCCGCGCTCAGGGACCACCCCCTGCGCACCCCCTCTGGTGGCGACAAAGTGCCACGCCTGCCACGCTTTCCGACCCTGGCACGCATAGCGGCCGCCCTCAGGGACCATTCCCTGCGCACCCCCTATGGTGGCGACAAGGTGCCACGCCTGCCACGCTTTCCGACCCTGGCGCGCATAGCGGCCGCCCTCAGAGACCACCCCCTGCGCACCCCCTATGGTGGCGACAAAGTGCCACGCCTGCCACGCTTTCCGACCCTGGCACGCATAGCGGCCGCCCTCAGGGACCACCCCCTTCGCACCCCCTATGGTGTCGACAAAACCCTACGCCTGCTGTGCCCTGGACGACCGTCGTGCTGTGCTGTGCTGTGCAGTGCTGTGCTGAGCTGTGCTGTGCTGAGGTGCTATGCTGTGCTGTGCAGTGCAGTGCTGTGCTGTGCTGAGCTGTGCTGAGCAGTGCTGTGCTGTGCTGTGCTTAGCTGTGCTGAGCAGTGCTGTGCTGCGCTGTATGACAAGGAGAAGGAGAAGGAGAAGGAGGAGGAGGAGGAGGAGGAGGAGGAGGAGGAGGAAGATGAAGAGGAGGAGGAGGAGGAGGAGGAGGAGGAGGAGGAGGAGGAGGAGGAGGAGGTGAGGTGGGTGAGGGTCGCGGGTGCGACGCGGCAGGGATGAAAACCAGAACCCAACGAAACATGTGGGGACAAAAACCGAAGTCATCGTGGCCATCATTCGCGCTCTTCAGGCTGGTCCGTGCCAGCGCACTACGTTTGCCACGACCGAAGAAGGCCTTTCCAGCCGCACCTCGCCCTGGCCTTTCCTGAGCCTACCACTGCTGCCACGGACGGCATAAGCTCGCCGCCGTCGATGCCGCACTGGCCCGCTTGCCGCCACGTGCTTCACGTGCTTCCCTTGTCACGTCTGCTTCCGGGCCCTAGTCCTCAATGGACCCCACCTCCATCCAGCTGCCCAGCGCTGGCCACCTTCACTTTCGCGCCGCGGACGCCCGCCCCCATGGGGCCCCACGTCCTGGGCAGTAGGGTGCCGACCCCTCTACCCTCCTTCCACCCTCTTGTCCCCCTTGGCCTTCCTCCTTGCCTCTGCCCCTTGCCTCCTCGTCCTGCCTCTTCCCTCGGGTGGCGGCACCCTGCCTTCCCCTAGGCTTTGGGCCCCTGTGGGTGCCACTAGCTCCTCGCTGCCCACGCTCCTACGCACAGCGGGCTCCACAACAACGTCCTTGCGCCTCTCGCGCCCGCTGCCCCACGCGGCAGCCCAATCATCCCACACGGCGACGCCCCTGCTGGTGTCACAGAGGAAAAACGGAGCGTCCTCAATGGACCTAGCCCGCGGTCCTTTGGCCAGCCCTCACCACGGGCTTCCGCTAACGCACCATACGGCGCCCCAGGGTTTCGAATACAACGTTGCCGCAGGTCACCCCAGCCGCCAGACAAAGGGCCGCCTACGCCCATGTGGGCTTTCTCACGCTGCACAGCTGCACTCTCCAACGTCAGCGCGCCGAGGCGCTCGACCAGGCTGCGGTCGCCACAAAGATGCTCGTCAGCACTTGAGCTGCCGTCGAGGCCGAGATGCGCAGGCAGGCGGATCTCACGGCCACCCTCAACGAGCTCCTCGCTGCTCACGCTTCAGCGTCCAACACCGGGCCGAACCAACCGCCCGACCACTAGCGCCCCAGCATGTTTCACGCCACACTTTCTTCCACACGAGGCAGCCCTGCCCGGCTTGCAGGGTTACGCTCCCCCCCCGAGGTGTACCTCGCTGGGGTGTCCTCCACGGCCCAGGGAGGAGCCTCGCCACGGTGCCATCGTGCACTCGGCCCCGTCTCAGCAGGCTGCCCCAATGGTCCCGCGCGGCTCGGCCCTCGGGGTCCTTGTCGTTCCCGTTGGGCGTCTCTTCGCCCGCCGAGGGCCTCGCCCTCTGAGCTGGCTTTCGCCTTCGACGCTGCGGGCCCCAGCCACAAGGGCTAGGCGCACTGGCCGCTTGTCCGCCTGGCGCTGGCGCAGACACCCGCGCGCATCTTTCCAATCTCTCTCTCTCTCTCTCTCTTTCTCCCTCTCCCTCGTCCAACCAACTCCATCCCTTTCTTTATAACGCCCTCTCCTTGTCGCACCACCACACGTGGTGGTAAGGCGGGCTGGGCGTTTCGCCTGAGCATGCCTCGCATCCAATGGTCCTGAAACACGAAATTCACAACATGTATGAACATGGCGAGGGGCGTTATTCAAAATTGGGCTCTCGCGTTCGCGCCGCGCACATTCATTTTTCAAAGGCTTCAGCAGTTACGAGGATGGAGGGGGAAAGGAATTTCAAAGTGGGGCTATCGCTCTGGCGCTGCGCACATTCGTCTTAAACAAAAAAATGCAAGGATGGAAGGAGGTTCCTTTTCAAAACTGGGGCTCTGCCTTAGATTTTCAAACTTCTCAAGCCAGAAACTCAAATATATGTAGCAACTGCACGGATGGAGTCCGGCTCTTTTTCAAACGAGGCAATCGTTTGAGACTCCCTCGACTAACACCGCCATAATCAAAAGTCTTAGCCAGCGTGGACCCCGAACAGTGCGTTGTTACATTGCGGAGAGGAACCATACATTGTGTAAACTATGCTGTATAAGCTATGCTGCGTAAGCAATGCGGCGTGAGCTCTGCGGTGCAAGCTTTGGTATGCAAGCTATGTGATAACAGTTATGTTGTACAAGTTATGTGGTATGGACTATCTGGTGTGAGCGATGCTGTGTGATATATGTGTGGTGTGAGCCATTTGATGAAACATATGTTGTGTAAGCAATGTGGTGTAAGCTATGTCGTGTACGCTACGCGGTGCCAACTGGATGTGGAAGTTATGTATTGTAAGCTATGTGATGCAAGCTACAATGTGTACGTAGACCCATCGGGTGGACCCGCAGGGTGGCAGTCTACATGGTGTGAGCTCTGTGGCGAAATGTACGTGGTGTGGGCTATGTCGTTGTAAACTACATTGTGCGACGACGGTTGGGAATGGGGCCGCCGGGTCAGCAGACGGATCATTTACTGGGAAAAATGTGGCGGCGACAGACCGGGGATGTTTTTTCGTTTTTTTTTTTGTTTTTTTTTTTTCCTTCTTCTTCCTCTTCTCAGAACGGGGATGTCGATGGCCTCCGCCTTGAACTGTATGATCATTGCTTTTCGCAACCTCTTTTACTCGCGGGAGAGGTGCCAGGCAGTTCCTCTTCAAGATGGGATCTCGCCTGAGGAGCGGGCCCTTGTGGGTGCTTACCTTTCAAACGGGCGCTTTTGCTAGTGAGAAAAAATTCGTGCAGGGACTGACTGAGGAAGGGGCTTGGGAAGGGTGTGCGTATTGCAGCGTCTCCGATGCATACTGTGGGTCTACCTTGTTCTTTATGAATCGGCGCGGTGATGGGGGTGAGACCGCAATCAAACGGATAGCACCCCGCCGGGAACTCGCTTTCGAATTCGTGTTCGTGTCGTGCTTGCCGGCGAGGCGAAGCTGCGTGGGTGGGCGAGACGACTGAACCCTCCTCTGGCTAGGGCGCCGCCGGACCAAAATACCGCTCCCGCTGGTTGACCGGCGGTGGCTGGGGGTGTCCCGCAAGTGTCCCGAGATCGATCGGGATATCGACATTGAGACCGATCCGGCGGTCGATAGTGCGTTCAATAGGGAGATCGATCGTGATATCGATGGTGATATCGATAGCAATATAGACCGTTCGATCGATAGTAAGATCGATCGTGATATCGATGAAGAGATCGATCGTGGGATCGGCCGTGATATCGATAATGCAATGGATAATAAGAACGATCGTAATCTTGATAGTATAACCGATCTAGTGAGATCGATCGTGACATCGTTCGAATGATATCGATAGTGAGATCGATAGCTAGATCGAGAAATGATATCGATAGTTATGTCGACGGCGAAATCAATTGTGATATCGATCGTGGAAGCGATAGTGAGATCAATCGTAAGAGCGGGTGAGTGAATCGGTGATTCCTCCCCCCCAGAACCTCCTTGTCACCCGAAGGGTGAACGTTTATGCATGTACACCCGCTCTGCCACGACACTGGCCGACAGGGGTCACATCTGGGGTTCCCCGTCCGACCTGTTCAAAAACCTCATAACGTCGATGGTTTTCGTCTCGACATGGGCATTCGGTCGTCCATGTTGCAAGCACCGTGGCAAGAATGGAGCTGGGCGCACATCCCGCGCGAAAGGCCGAACTGTCGCTCTCGCCTCGGCGTCGCGCTCATTTTTCTAAGGAATCGAGCTCCCGCTTCAACTCCGTCGTCGCGCGAATGGACGAAAACATCGCTGTCGCCCTGGCGCCGCGCATATTTCCATTGAGAATGGCGCTCCAGCCCCGAAGCGGCAAATCTTTCTTACTCGCGAATTTTGTTGGGCCCGCGCGAGTGAGCGACTTGTCGCCCTCGCCCAAGGTGCGTGCGCGTTTTGCTCGTAAGTGGTGTCCCGCGCAGGCGCGGCGCATGGCTCGTTCGCCGAATCGCATGAAATCGACAACGGCAACGGGGCCGCGCGAGAGCGGGCGAAATGCCGATCCCGCCCAAACGCCGCTCAATTTGTGAGCGGAAGTGGCAGTGCCGTGTCAGCGTGGGGCATGCTTCTTCTTTGCCAAGCCCATCGGAAGTTGTTCTGCTCCCGCCCCTGCGCGGCTCGCGTATTTTCTCCTCGCCAAGTCGGCGGAAGCGGGGCCGCGAGCGAGCGCCTTCTGTTTGCAAGGTGGGAGTGCGTTCCAGTCCAAAATGTCAAATTGCCACACTTCGTTCTTTTACTACGGGAAGGTAGGAATAGGCGGGGCCCTCAGACTCGCCCGACCTGGCTAACTTGAGTGTGGTCCTCCTTCTCCTCCTCGTCCTCCTCCTCCATCTCCATCTCCTCCTCCCCCTCCTCCTCCCCCTCCTCCTCCTCCTCGGCCTCGTCCTCTCTCCATTCCCCCTCAACTTCGCCTCTCTGACCTCTCCTGGGGTGCTCTTCGAATATAACTTCGAAGGGAAGCCAATGGTGGCGACGAGTCGCCCCCTCGAGGCCCAAGAGGGGAAACGATATCCCTAAATGGCAATGCTCAATCTTTCCCTCGAGCCTCGAAGCCACCCCAAGACCCACCCTTCCCCTCCCGTACCTGGAGGCATCCGAAGGTCTCCGGAGATTCCCAGAGGTCTCCTCTGGAGGTCTCCAGAAGCTTCCTCAAAGTTCCGGGAGCCGAAAACCAATGAAAGACACCACACGCCCATATCCTCGACCCTTTTTTCAATGTTGGGGAAACTTGAGCATCTAGACCGGAGCGTGTTCTGGTGCGCAAAAGAAGTAGCACAGTGATGTGTGAATTCGGCGGAAGGCCCTTGCGGTACAGGAAAGGCATAACGTACAACAACAGGAAAGTGCCAAGAGAGGAAGCCGAGTAACGATGCCTGCCGCCGAGGTGGTCTCGACCGCCCTCCTCCACCTCCTCCTCCTTGCCTTCCTCCTCCTCCTCCTCCTCCTCCTCCTCCTCCTCCCTCCTCCTCCTCCTCCTCCTCCTCCTCCTCCTCCTCCTCCCTCCTCTTCCTCCTCCTCCTCCACCCTCTCCGTGCCCGCTCCTCCACCACCTAGCTCTTCCCCATCTCGCTCTTCATTCTACCTTGTTCAACTCCCTCCTCCTCCTGCCTTCCTCCCTCCTCCTCCCCCCCCCTCCTCCCTCCTCTTCCTCCTCCTCCTCCTCCTCGGCCTCCTGCTCTTCCTCTTCCTCTTCTTCTTCCCCCCTCCCTCCTCCGTTTCTCCATCTCTCCCTCCTCATCCTCCTTCTTCGCCCCCTCCCCCTCCCGCAGCCGGGGCCTGGCCGCGTCGGCGGCCGCTGGGCGCGACGCGCCCGCGGGTTCGAGGTGGCTCTGCCAGGCCGGCAGGCGGTCGGCCTCGCCGCCCCATCCGTCAGCGCCTCCTCCTCCTCCTCCTCCTCCTCCTCCTCCTGGTCCTCGTCCTCCGTTCTCCTCCTCCCTCCACCTGGTCCTCCTCCTCCCTCCTCCCTCCTCCTCCTCCTCCTCTCCTCCTCTCCTCTCCTCCCCTCCTCCTCCTCCTCCCTCTCCTCCTCGCCGCGGTGGTCTCGACCGCCCTCCTCCGCCTCCTCCTCCTCCTCCTTCTCCTCCTCCTCCTCCTCCTCGTCCTACTCCTCCTCATCGTCCTCCATTTCGCGCCCGAGCGGCCCCCCCCTGCACGGGGCGCGCATGGGTGTTTCGCGGGCAAAAATTGAAACGGCCCTGCTCGCGAGAGCCGACACCCAGAAGCGTGGCGCCCCAAGTCATCACCCACAATGCTGAGAACAAGCGCGAGCGCACCCGCCAGGAAACTGGGCTCCCTCCGCCCTCCCCTCCTTTCCCTCGTAGTCCTCTTCCTCCTGCTTCCCCCTCCCATCGTCAGTCTGGCGAGCTGCAATGCCGGCCTCCCGAGCGCCACGGCGGAAGTGCAGGCAAAACAAGGTTACGATCAGCTTCAGTGTAAGGACCAGGCCTTGAGAGAAGCCACTGCTTGGCGAGGGCGACAAAAGTGCGGGCGGGCCACGATCAGCGGTAACGCTGGGAGCAGCCCGTGCCAGAAAGGGGGCGTGCAGTGGCAGCAGACGCTGGCGCTGCGAGGCAGGTGCGGGTGGGCCACGATCGGCAGGAACGCTGGGAGCAGCCCGTGCGAGAAAAGTATGGTCGGACTCAGCAACCTCGCAGGGAGCAGCCCGTGCGAGCAAGAAGGCAGGCAGCGGGCATTGGCGCTGTGAAGGTGAAGAACGATTCCCGATGCCGTCAGCTACATCCGACGCGATGTACAAAGCCAGCGGTGAAGAGGGGGGCCGATGAAGGACGAGCCAGATGCCATCAGCTACAGCGCTGGAATCAGGGCAAGGTGAAGTTGGAGCCACACCAATCTCCTCGTGCCAAAGAGCGGGAGGCGAAATTGGCGCCCGACGCATCGAGGAAAGGTGAAGGTCGAGCCCGATGCCATCAACTACAACCGACTCCGCGCGGGAAGCTGAATGCGAAGACGGAGCTCGATAGCGATAAGGCGAGCAGTGGCAGCAGGCGCTGATACTGCGAGAGGCGTGCAGGAGCGAACGTCACCAGGGGGATCAGCTTGTGTGCGGAGGCACGCAATTGCAGAAGGAGTTGGCAATGCGAGAAGGGCGCGCAGTGGCAGCAAGCTGTGGCAATGCGAGGAGGCGGAAATGTAAGAACGGACGCCCTCAATTGCAATTCTGGGGCCAACTCGTGTGCGAATGTCGGCAATGACAGCAATAATTGGCAATGCGAGGAAGGCAAGCCGTGTCAGCAAGCCGTGGAACTGCGAGAAAGTGAAAGTGCATGAACTGACGCCGCTTACTGCAAAACTGGGATCAGCTCGTGCGCGAGACGGCCGGGGAGCGGCCGTGCACATCAGGGTTGCAATTCGTCGGGAGTTCAGTGGAAGGCCTCGTGTGAGAAGCGGGGGGCGAAGCTGGAGTCCGATATCGTCGGGCGGGAGCCAGAGCCAAACGTTCTAAACTACTGTTTCGGTGTCCCCTGGAAGGCTACAGTTCACGAGGCAGCCCTTGTCGCCCAGGATCGGCCTGGGGGTTGGTGCTGCCTCCGCTCGTCGACCCTGCTGCCGTGCTCGCAGCAGGGCTCACCAGGTTGGCCAGGCCACTCGAATCTCACTCGAGTCCTCCTCCTCCCTCCTCCCTCCTCCCTCCTCTCTCCTCCCCCCTGCCTCCTCCTACTCCTCCTCCTCCCTCTTTCCTCTCTCCTCCCCCCTCCCTCCTCCTCCTCCTCCTCCTCCGCTTTTGTCGCCCCCCTTTCCCATGCCATCCGCCTCACCCCCCCGAATGTGCGGGAGCGCACAGCGCACGCTTGGGCGTGGGAAGGGGTAAGGGAAGAACGAGGGATGGACGGGGAGGATAGAAGGAGGGAGGGATGGATGGAGGGAGGGAGGGAGGGTGCCTCGCGAAGTCGCCCTGGCGACGAGGAGTCGTTTACAGGGAGGAGGGGTGGAGCAGGACTGGCATGAGGAGGGAGGAGAATGATGAGGCGGAGGAGGAGGAGGAGGGGGAGGAGGGGGAGGAGGAGGAGGAGGAGGAGGAGGAGGAGGAGGAGGAGGAGGAGGAGGAGGACAATTGGGACAGCTTGACTCACGACAGCGGACATTGACGACTTTGCTTGCACGTTCTAATGATGAAGGCGATGACGATGACGATGACGAGGATGATGCTGATGATGACGATAGTGCTGCTGCTGATGATGATGCAGATAATGATTATGATGGCGGTGGTGGTGGTGGTGATGCTGATGACCATGGTACTGCTGATGATGATTATGCTGCTGCTGCTGCTGATGATTCTGATGAGGACGGGGAAGAGGAGGAGGAACAAGAGGAGGAGGAGGAGGAGGAGGAGGAGGAGGAGGAGGAGGAGGAGGAGGAGGAGGAGGAGGAGGAGGAGCTGGAACACTAAGAGTGTGCATGTATGTGTATATATTTGTATGTTTTTTATATAAACTTCATGGACGTTATCACGTGCATGTGTATGACCACCACCAGACACTTGTATGTATATGTACCTCTATGTAGATATGCGCGATCTCCTCATGTGGCGCTCCGCTGCTCACTGATGCCGTTCGAAAAGCGAAGCGAGCACCGTGACAAGTGGACCCCTCGGTTCCAGGTGTCGCGGTTCTCCGAGCCCCAGCGAGGAGACGCCTTTCTGAGCATCTGGTGGTGCTTCGGCGGAAAGTAGCCTTGCATGCGTCGCCGCCGCCTGGGCTATGTATTTCAGTTGCATCAACCAAGGCGCTCAGGAAACGTTGCGTCGCCCAAGGAGCTCAGCAAACTGCAAGAAGGTGCCAGGTTACCAAATGCGTCAACGTTGAATCCTGACGCTGCCCCTCTTGCTCCGCAGGACTTGGGCGACTCTCTAGTGGAGCTGACTGGGCAGGCCAGGGATCTGGAAGCCTTGCATGTGACCTCGCCTTCGTCTCAGTCTCCTGGTGACGTGAGGCCAGGAGCAGGTGGAGAGACTTCCAGTGTTCTTGTGGCAGAGCTGACCCCCAGCCCGCGGCAGGGGATAGTAAGGCAGACGTTTGTGGTAGACTTTCAAATTTGTATGCGCCGACGCGCAGGAGATTCCGAGGTCTGCCAGCGTAGGTGCTGCTCGGAGTGCCCTGTGCTGGTCAGGGAAGATAGCGAAGACTTTCCAGTTATATGCGCAGTGTGTGCGAGCACCATCTTGGCTGGCTATGACATGTTTCAGTGTCAATGGGACAGATGTGAGGACTTCTTCTGCGCGGACTGTGTACATCCTGTGTTGCGGCGTTCAAATGCACAGGGGTTCAACACGGATCAAGCAGAGTAATTAATTCCATCGTGCCGCTTTCTTGCGACTTGGCCTACACGGGTTGCGTGGTGTCCAGCATCTGTTTTTGAGTCAGTGGGCAGGCTTGGAGCAGGGTGGGACTTTGAACGAAGATTTCGGCAAGTCCCTCGAGTTGCTGGACTGAAGCAAGAAGAGCTCTGCAATGTGTATTCCGCCCCTTAGGCCGGCAAGGGGTAGGAGGAGGAGGAGGAGGAGGAGGAGGAGGAGGAGGAGGAGGAGGAGGAGGAGGAGGAATGGGTAGGAGGCGGAGAAGAGCGCGGGGGAGGTGAGAGGAGGAGGAAGGCGGAGGCTGAGGAGGAGGAGGAGGAAGGAGGAGGAACAGAGAGGTGGACCGGCAAGGGCGGAGGAGCAGGGAGGCGGGCGGAAGCGGAAGCGGAGGTGCAGTGAGGAGGAAGCGCGGGGCGGACGAGCGGGACGAGTGGGGCGACGGCGGCACGCCCCCGGGGCGCCACGGACTCGGGGCCGGCGCCGGGGAGGAACTGCAGGTGGAGGCCGCCGAGGGCCTCGCCTAGCGGGCGCGCAACGGCGGCCGAGGCCTGCGACGGCGGGGGAGGAGGAGGAGGAGGGGGAGCGGCGGCGAGGAGGGAGGAGGAGGAGGAGGAGGAGGAGGAGGAGGAGGAGGAGGAGGAGGAGGAGGAGGAGGAGGAGGACGAGGAGGAGGAGGAGGAGGAGGAGGAGGAGGAGGAGGAGGAAGAGGAGGAGGAGGTACACGTCGTTCGCTTCTAATCGTGTTCATTTCAAATTCTGCTCGTTTCCAATCGTTCCTGGCCCCCCAGTGGCCAGGAAGAGACCCAGGATGGATCAATTAGAACTGAAATGATCTTGCCCCCCCCCAAAATCCAAGAACTCGGAGAATTAGAAATGAACAATGTGTATGGCATGGTATGGTATGGTATGGTATGAGTTGGCCCTGAAGGCGAGGTCAAGCCTCATCAAGGAGCAGCGCGGGCTCCCCTAGCAGCGGGGGTCCCCCAGCTGAGAGGCAGGATTGGGACCCCCGAAATCGCAGCCCATCCCCCGTCCCATCAGTGCCGCTGGCTAGTGGCGGGGGATGGGCAGCTTAGCTGCCGAGCGGCCACCAACTAGACCGCGCCTCCCGCACGGCACATCGCCGAGACCGCTCACGCAGCCGCCTCGGGGCGTCTCAGCGGAGAAGTAGGACGATGAGGAGGACGACAAGATGAAGAAGGAGGGAGGGGGAGGGAGAAGAGGATGCAGGAGGAGAGAGGGAGGGGACGGGGAGAGAAGAAAGTAGGACGAGAGATGGCTGGCCACGACGATGGCGATGACGATGAAGACGACGACGTCGATGATGCTGATGATGCTGACGATGGTACTGATGATACTGACGATGCTGCTGCTGATGATGACGATGCTGGCGAGGATGATGATAATAGTGATAAAGATGAGGTGGCTAATGATGCTTGTAATGATGACATGTATGATGATACTGATGGTGCTGATGTTGAGTATGCTGTTGATGCTTACGACGATGTTCATGCTGCTGATGATGTCGCTTACGATGGTACGGATGGTGATGAGGACGATGCTGATGACTGTGACGATGACGATGATGATGCTGCTGATGATGACGACTGTGATGATACTGTTGATGATACTGTTGATGATACTGATGATGAGGGTGATGATGATGCTGCTGATCATGATGATGCTGATGCTGATGCTGCTGCTGATGATGATGCTGATGCTGACGATGCTGCTGCTGATGATGCTGCTGCTGTTGATGCTGATGCTGCTGATGATACTGATATGGTGATGGAGATGATGACGATTGTGATGATTAGGGAGATGATGAGGATGACAGTGTTGGTGATGGTGAGGGGGAGGGGTGTGGAGGTGAAAGGGAGGAGGGATGGAGGGAGGGAGGGAGGGAGGGAGGGAGGGAGGAGGAGGAGGAGGAGGAGGAGGAGGGATGAGGATGATGATGATGAGGATGATGAGGAGGAGGAAACACAAATGACAGCCAGGGAGGATCGGGGGGGGCAGGAGGAGGAGGAGGGGAGGAGGAGAGGAGGAGGAGGAGGAGGAGGAGGAGGAGGAGGAGGAGGCGGAGGCGGAGGTGGGGGCGGAGGCGGAGGCGGAGGAGGATGAGGAGGAGACGGAGGTGGAGGCAGGATGAGGGAGCAGGAGGAGAGGAGGAGGAGGGAGGAGGAGGAGGAGGAGGAGGAGGAGGAGGAGGAGGAGGAGGAGGAGGAGGAGGAGGAGGAGGAGGAGGAGGAGGAGGAGGAGGAGAGAGAGAGAGCTCTCTTTCTCACTTCTTCGAGACAGTCCACTCTTCCTTCCGCTGTGGATCCTCCTGTCCCTCCCCCTCCCCTCCCGCTTCTCCTCGCCGTCGTGCGTCGCCCTCCTCCAGAGGTCTCCGCAAGCCTCAAGACAGCGCCCACAGCTCGACCCTCCACCTCCTGCTCCTCGCGGCGGGCGGCGCAGCGGGGAGCGGGGCCCTCGCACTCCTCCGGCTCGACGGGCTGCCCTGCGGCGCTGGCGGCGCCCGGGCCTCGGGAAGGCGCGGCGGGTGAGAGAGAGAGAGAGAGAGAGAGAGAAAGAGAGAGGGATGGAGAGCGGGAGAGGGGGAGGAAGGGAGGAGGGAGGAAGGGATGAGGAGGAAGGGCGAGGAGGGAGGATAAGGTGGTTGGGTAGGAGGAGGAGGAGGAGGAGGAGGAGGAGGAGGAGGAGGAGGAGGAGGGGGAGCAGGAATGGTAGTGGGCGCAAGGAGGGCGAGTGAGAGAGAGGGAGGGGCAAGATGATGACGATGACGATGACGATGACGATGGCGATGATGATGCTGCTGATAATGATGCTGCTGCTGCTGCTGATGATTGTGATGATGCTGAAGCTGATGCTGCTGCTGATGGTGCTGCTGCTGATGGTGCTGATAATGATAATGATGAGGACTATGAATGTTATGATGACGATGACGATGACGATACTGATGATGATTGTAGTGATGATGATGATGATGACAATGATGCTGATCATGTTGCTGGTGATGCTGATGCCGATGCTGATGCTGATGCTCATGATGGTTATGGTGATGATGATGATGATGGATGATGATGATGATAATGATGATGATGAGGATGATGATCATGATGATGATGCTGATGATGCTGATGATGATGATGATGATGATGATGATCCCACCAGCCCTCTGGGCGTAGGTGTTGTAGGGCGGCTCCTCTTTCAACCCCCTTCTTACCACTCGGCGAGAGTTTTTCATGCCCTATTAATAAACACCCCCTCCCGCACCGTGCCGACAGCCAACCCGGAACCATGCGGGCACCCCTCCCGCTGTCCCTTTCAAAAAAGCAATACAAAACCCACATCGCGGGGCCCACACTGCCAACACTCTCCACAATCCCTGTCAAAAACAAATCGAAGTGCCCATTGCAGCAAAATCTGGACAGTGCGCTGGCGCCCTGTGAGCACGCTGTATTGTTTTTGGACACGGGTGGCGGGGCACCCTTAGTGAAGCCGCTTTGTGCAGGACCACCATCCGTGTCAAAAACAATGCAAAATGCACGTTGCGACAACGTCGTGGGTATTGTGCTGACCACCTGCGATTACTTTGTATTGTTTTTTGACGGGGACGGCGGTGGTGCCGGCAGGATGATGCTTCCTGTGCGCAGGCCCAGAACAATGCTGACGCCCCCCACATCAGCATCTGGACCATGCGGGCGGCGGGGCATCACGTTTTTTACGAGGATGGCACACCAATCGCATGTGGAGCCTGCGGCGAGCGTCGCGCACCTGGCGTCCGCTTCGGTTCCCAGTGGCTGTTCATCCAGTGGCGACCCCTGGCTATGCCGAGACTCGGATGCCACTTATGTGGTGGGAGGGCGGGTGGGAGTGAGCTAGACGGCTTGCGTGCGGAGAGGGTGTCTTGACCCCTCCCCCTACCCCCTCCCCTGGACCTGGACGGGGGTTCCGCGAGCGGTCAGGGCGTCCAAAACGGCCTCGGCGAGGAAGCCAAACTCATTGGTTTTACCACGGTTTTGGCCCCATTTTGGCCTCTTGAGGGGGCAGCGCTAAAAGGAGCTCCCCTCTTCTTTGATCGATGTCCCCCAAGATGGCCCCAAGACAAGCCCAGGAGGCCCCAAGAGGCCCCAACATGGCCCCAAGAGGCCCCCCAAAGGCCCTTAGGAGGCACCCAAGAGGACCCCAAGCGGCCCCAAGAGCCTCCCCCCCGAGGCACCCAAGACGCCCAAGAGCCCCCCAGGACCACCAAGAGACCCCCCAAACGTGCCAAGAGGCGACCAAGAAGCGCCCAAGAGATATCCCAAGAGGCTCAGAGAGGCATCCAAGAGACCTCTGGCTCTTTTGCTAACCCTCCTCTTCCAGCTCCTTCTTCCTACTCCTACACCTCCTCTTCTTCCTCCTCCTCATCTTTTTCATCCTCCTTCTCCCCACTCCCTCATCCATCCATCCAACCTCCTCCTTCTCCTCCTCACTCCTTCGCACGGTTCGGCCGTCCCCCCCCTTGCTCCCGAACTTCCCTGATCATCTCAACTCGCCTGGACATCGTTTCTGGATGGGCTGGTGGGGATACGCGAATCGTCTAGAATAATAATAATATTGATACTGGTGCTGATGCTGGCGATGATGCTGCTGCTGCCGATGATGATGGTAGTGGTGATGATGATGATGACGATGGTGCTGATGCAGATGATGAGGCTGATGATACTGATGCTGATGCTGCTGATGATGAGGAGGATGAGTACGAAGAAGGAAATAAGGGAGAGGGGGCGGAGGACGGAGGGAGTAGGGAGGAGGAGGAGGACGAGGATGAGGATGAGGAGGAAGATGGAGGAGGAGGAGAGGCTGGAGGAGAGGGAGGATGAGAGAGAGAGAGAGAGAGAGAAGGAGGAGGAAGAGGAGGAGGAGGAGGAGGAGGAGGAGGGAGATGATGGGGCGGAGGAAGATGAAAAGCAGGAGGAGGAGGAGGGAGATGACGTGGCGGAGGAGGAGGAGGAAGAGCAGGAGGATGAGGATGATGATGAGGAGGAGGAGGAGGAAAGGGGGGATAACGGGGTGGACTAGGAGAAGGAGAACGAGAGTAAACCCAGGAGTAAGCCCAAGGGCCATGAAGCCTCACTACTGCGGGAAGAGCCCTCGAAGGGCGAGAACTCCATGGGCCTGCCATGCAGGCGAGGGCTGCATGGCTGTTCGGTGCGCAGGGCTGCACGGTGCGAAGGGCTGCAGGGGCTGGAAGGGTCCACTGAGAGCCCAATCATGACATACAGCAGTCCTACACGTCGTTCATTTCTAATCGTGCTCATTTCTAATTGTGCTCGCTTGTTTCTAATTGTTCCTGGCCCCCCAGTGGCGCCAGGAAGAGGCCCAGGATAGAACAATTAGAAATGAAAGGATCCTGGCCCCCGAAGAAATCAAAGAACTCTCGAACACTTAGAAATGAACAGTGTGTATATCGGCTCAGCACACACATGCATGTTTGGTACTCGAAACAGCGGGCGTCTTGAACGACAACGTCGTTTCGGAAAGAGGAGCACCGCCCTGCATCCGTGTGCAAGTTCAACACACAGCACGTGTAGGTCATACACGCGGAGAAAAATGGCATCATACAATATCATCGCGTTGAAAGTGAACCGCTACCGATCCGTGGAGCTGATGCATTTTTCAGGTGGGTGTGCGCAACACTACAGCGAGAACCCGATTTTGAAGCATATTCACCCTACATTCCGTGCAACTGCTGCGAACTTTCAAGACGAATGTGCATTGGGCTGAAGAGGGAACCACGTTTTGTACAAGACCTGCACTCCATCCATGTAACTGTTGGAAACATCAAGCATCAATACTGCAAACAATCAAGACGCCTCGAGGGAAACGCCTGGTCCGCCCTACCCACATGCGACGGTGAAGAGCTATTTGTAATGAGGGGTGGAGGAGGACGAGGTGAAGGGCCGCATGTCCACGCATAGCAGAACAAAAACGACAATCTAGAGGTGCAAAAGGCGCGAAATCACGAATCCGAAGCATCACCAAGGCATACCTTCACGTGCTGATGCGCTTCGCCGCACGGGCTTCGGCGTTCGCGGCACGGCGCCACGAGAGACATCCGACCAGCGTGCCCTGTGCGACCTCGCCGAGCGGCTGTCAGGCCACAAGGGGGTGCCTGGGCCTCGCGCCGGCAAGGCGCGCCAAGCTTGCGCTCTGGCTCCCTCGCAGCGGCCCCGCGAGCCAGACGGACGAAAGCCCCCCTTCGTTCGTCCACCCTCGCCTCGCGAGTGTCGGGGACCTTCCCGCGTGGCCAAGCCGCATGGAACCTGGAAGCGGGGCGCGCGCCGCTCGGAGCCACCACGGGCCGCCGGCACGACGCGGCGGGCCAAGCCCCGAGCGCTGCTCGCCCCGAGGATGTGGGGCAGGCAAGCGCACGAGAGGCGCCCAGAGTTGAGCGCCTGGCCGTGTGCAGCGAGCTCGGAAAGCACGGGGCCTGGCGCGCTTCCGACCTGCCTGCGTGGCAGTTGCCAACGAGTTCTGGCAAGTCAAGCATAAGGAAGACATGAGGGTGGGAGGGAGGACGATGCGGGCGAGTGAGCGGAGGAGGGGGGCAAAAGTGGGTGGACGTGGTGGAGAAGGAGTGGAGAGGGGGAGGAGGGACCCCAATTTAAGGAGCAGAGGAATAAGGGGACTGCCCGCGCTCGGGGATCGCTGCAAATATGTTTGTGCCTGAAGTATACCCCTCGCCGCCACCCCAGCAGTGCACAACAGCTGCGCACAAACACTCGGCTGACAAGCGCAACGGCAGGACCGCGAGGATTCCCTTGCACCGAAACCTGGCGCAACTCGTCCTTCACCATGACGGTTCTGGAGGAGACGGTCCCTGCACCCGGGGCTCTCATCCCGAATCGTTCTTGCGCGGTCCTGGGGCCTGGGGGGCCGCAACCGGAAAAAAACACCTGCAGGACCCTTTCCTCAAAGACCCCCCTCGTCGATGCTGAGCCCATCCTGAAAACAATCGCGCAAGCCCGTGGGCCCCCCGCTGTTTCGGCCACCTGGCGCCCTTCTGAGGCCTCGGCCGCGGCAGATGCCGCAGAGGCCCTCCAAGAGATCGGCGCAAGCTGGTGGCCACGCGGCCCCCGGCCTTGGGGCGGGTCCGTCTGCGGCGCCAGCGCTCGAAGGTGCCAAGGAATCCTGCAGGCAACCGGTGCAAGAGGAGGATGGGGGGAGAACGAACATGACAATTGATGGTGGTGGTGGTGGTGAAAATTGTGATAATGGTGATGATGGTGCTGCTGCTGATGGTGATGACGATGACGATGTTGATGTTGATGGTGATGATGATGGTGGTGGTGATGATGATGATGATCATGATGCTGCCACTGATGATGACGATGACGATGACGACGACGATGACGATGATGGCGATGATGATGGTGATGCTGATGCTGATGATGGTGATAATGCGTGGTGATGACGATGATGATGGCGATGCTTATAATTATGATGCTGCTGCTGACGATGACGATGACGACGATGATGATGATGATGATGATGATAATGATGATGATAATGATGATGATGATGATGATGAAGAAGGCGATGCCAATGCCGATGATGATAACGATCACGATGATGCTGTTGATGATCATCATGCTGCCGATCGTGATGATGAGGTTGATGCTTATGATACTGATGACGATGACGCTGATGATGATAATGCTGATGCTGAGTATGATGATGCTGTTGATGTTGGTGTTGGTGTCGATGCTGTTGCCGCTGATGAGGATCACGATGCTCATGACAAGGACCTTGCTGGTGGTGATAATGAGGATGACGGTGACGACGATGACAATGACGATGACGATGACGATGACGATGATGATGATGATGATGATGATGCTGATGATGATGCTGATGATGATGATGCTGATGATGATGATGATGATGACTCTGCTGATGCAGATGCTGATGCTGCTGCTGCTGATGATGATGATGATGATGATGATTTTACTGCTGCTGCTGTTGCTGATGCTTACGAGGGGGTGGTGACGATGGGGATGGTGATGGTGATGTAGGTGATGGAGATTGCACCGCGTCGGCAGAAGCCGACGGCAAGAGCAAGCGAGGCCATGGCTGGGGTCCGAGCCCCCCCCCCCCCCGCTGGAGCTCGGCCAAGGCAGGCGAGGTCCTCGTCAACTGCGCCGCGGGCCGACGGGGTGGTGTCCCCGTCGCCTTGGAGCAAGTGCTCCTGATGGGGAGGGCGGAGGAGATGGGAAAGGGTGTCTCGGCCGAGCAGAGGTCCCGTGTCGCCCAAGAGGATCAGCAGCACCGCAGAAGCATCCATGGGGGAGGGGAGGGGCCGAGAGGAGACACGGGGGGAGGAGAGAGGGGTAGGAGAGGGGGTCTCTGCTGATCAGAGCTCCCTCCGTTGCATGCCTACAGCGTTCAGCAGCACCGCAGTAGCATCGAGGCGAAGCTAGCACTCCACAATGCCGATCCTCCTCCTCCTCCTCCTCCTCTTTCTCCTCCTTCCTCAACCTCTCTTCTCTTCTCCTTATTCCATTCCTCGTCGTCGTCTTGGCCCTCTCCTCCATCTTCTTGTCCTTCTCTTCTTCACTCCTTTTGCTTCTCGCAATTCCTTCTGTTCCTCCCTCCTGTTGCTGCTTCTGCTGTTGCTCCTCCTCCTCCTCCTCCTCCTCCTCCTCTTCCTCTGTCCCTCCCTCCCTCCTTCCTTCCTCCTCCCTCCTTTCCTCCAACTCCTTCTCCTCCGTCTCCTCTTCCTCATCCTTCTCCTCCTTCTTCTTCCTCCTCGTTCTGCCCCTCATTCCTCTTTGTCCTTCTCTTCTTTCGACGCCCTCCACCTCCCCCTTTCCACACCGCCGCTCTCATCATCCCCCTACCTCCTGCATCACTTTTGAGCGGCGACTCCTGGGCCAGCGCTGTTGCAGGATCGACCGATTTAATCCAGGGCTTCACGAAGGCCTCTCTGGAGAAGGGACGGCAAAAACATCTGTAATATTCTCCAGCAGGTCGAGGCAAGCTTGGAGCGGCTTATCTCCCGGCCCACCGATACTCCTGCTCCAGTCCAGTCCACCTTCCATTCTCCTTCTCCTCAGCCTCCTGCTCCTCCCTCCTCATCCTCGTCACCCCCCTCGCACGCTCGTCACCACCACCACCACCTCCTCCGACGCCACCGAATGCCACGCGGGTGCGGCGATGCGAGCTGGCCCGCCCGCGCGGGGGGTCGAGCTTTGCCAAACGTCGGCCCCCCAGATATCCCCCACAACTCTGCCTGGCCGCTCTTCCGAGCTGTGCCCGGCCGCGGCGACGTGGCAGCATCCCGGAACAACGTCCAACATAACCTACGAGGCGACGGCGGCACCGACGGCGCCCGCGACCCGCCGGGCTGTCCTCCCGCAGCTCCCTCCTCAGCCCGACCGCCGCCAGGGCGACCGGGTTCATGGCCGGCCTCCGCGGCTGCGGCGGGCGGTGGAGCGGCGGGCGGGGGCCAAGGCGCCTCCTCGTCGCCGTCGCCGCCGCCGTCGCCGCCGCCGCCGCCGTCGCCGCCGTCGTCGTCGTCGTCGTCGTCGTCGTCGGCGGCGGCGGCGGCGGCGGCGGCGGCGTCGTCGGCGTCGTCGATGCCATCGTCTTCGTCGATGCCATCGTCGTCTCCGGGGGGGAGGGGAAAGACGGACCGCGATGGCCGCCAGGGCCTCGTCGAGGCGTGAAAGCGAGGGAGGTGAGAAGAGGAGCAGGGTCAGGGATGCTCGATAGAGAAAGAAAGGGACCACAGGATTCGGGGCGAGCAGTGAAAATGAAGAGTGGCGCTGGGGCCCCCCATGGGCGCCATCGTGCCCCCCTATCACGCCCCCGAGACGGTCCAACAGGGGCCCACGACTGCCTCGCCGTGGCCTCGAGGGGCCCAGGCGTCGGGGGTGGACACAGGGCTCCCCCCCTTCAGCTGCGCGCCCCGCCCCCCCCCGAAGGCGCCACGGGACCAGCGCCGACGGGCGCAGGCCCGCCAGGACTGCGGGGCCTGCGCCCCTCCCCCTCGAGAACCGAAGAGAGGCCGTGCCGAATCGGCTTGGACTCCGACGGGCGCTGGCCTCGGGAATCCTACCGAGATGGCGCCCGAATGAACTCCAGGGTCCCCTCATGCGGGTGGAGGCTATGCCTGCTCTCTATCAGACCCCTTCTCCTTGTCCTCCTCCTCCTCCTCCTTCTCCCTCGTGGGAGCGGTCTGGCGCGCAGCCTGGAGGTGCCTGCTTCTCCTTCACCGCTCTCCTCCTTTTCATCCTCCCTCCTTGCTCTGCTCTCGTCCTCCTCCTTCAATTCATCACTACTTCCTCCCCCTCCTCGTCCTCCTCCTCCTCCTCCTCCTCCTCCTCGCTATTGTCCTTTTCCTTTCCCATTCCCCTTCCCTTTCATTCTCCCTTTTCCACCACCACCTCCTCCTTATCGTCGTCCTTCCTTCTCTTCGTCTGCAGAATTTCCGAAGCATGCCATTCATGAGGTGCAGTCAATGCGGTGCAACCCATGAGGTGCAATGCATCTAGGGCGCAATCTATGTAATGCACCACGCATGTTGCATGACGGGCCGTGCAAGCACAAAGCGTGGCCATGCCATCGGTGCGGCGCAGGCTATGCGCTGCAGGCTGCGTGACGTGATGCAGCCTACCCGTGGCGCAGGAGTGCACTGTGCACGCCGTGCGCTGCGGGCTGTGCGGTGCAAGCGGTGCGATGCGAGCGGTGCGGTGCCAAGCCGTGGCGCAGACCGTGTGGTGCCCACAAGCGGTCACGAGGCGAGCACGAGGCGGGCACCCGGCGCCCACAGGGCGGCCTCGGGAAGCCACGGGCGAGCACCCACTGAACCCCCGGCAGACACAGCCGGTGCACTGGGCGCACGGGCTGCGTGCTCGGGCGGGCGCCACGCACCAGGCGAAGCCCCGGCATGCCGATCCAATTGCTTCCTGAAGCACATGCGAGCCCCCAAGTGCAAGCACTGCTTGGTGAATCCAGGCGAGCATGGAACTGGAAGGGTGGGGGAGGAGGAGGAGGAGGAGGAGGATGAGGAGGAGGAGGCGCCCGAGATGGCCCAACCAACTGCCCACGGTTGCCTCAACAGGTTCTCGAGACGCCCCCACTACGGGGTTGGAAGATGGGCATCGAGCGGGGCAGATGGGACGGGGAGACGCGACGCGTACTTGGCATTTGAGCCATGGCAGGTTGTTTGATTGCGAACGGCCGCCATGGTCATCATCATCGCGTCCATGATGACGTTGATGGCGACCGTCGAGTTGATGGTGGTAACCATCCTACGATCATAATGGCTAACGCTGCCGTGATGATATGACCATGGTGATCATATTCCCCATAACGGATCATGATCATCGTAATGGTTAAGATGATACCCTCTCCCCTCTGACTCCTAGCAAAGAGTCGATGCTTTGGCGGGATAGGACTTGACCCCATCCTGGGTTATGATTCATTTTACATGGGTAAAGGCAGATCAGCCAAATCCTGTCCTTAAAGAAAACGGCGCGATCAGGTCCCGTTCCCATATCATGTCCAGGTTCCTCGGGCGATCAATTCACTGAACAGCGTCAAGCCGAATCGCATTTTCAAAAAGTCTTTACTTTGGGGACTTCATTATCGCAAAATCGCCACCTTCGTGAACACTATCATCCATCGTTCTCATCGCAACCGGCTTCCGCCAGTCTGCCGCCGCGGTACTCGGCCTATACGCCAAGGACGAGCTCGGCGCAAATTTTGAGTTGGGAACTTCACCATCGTCAGCATAGCCGCCATCGTGAAGATTACCATCCACCATTTTCATCGCCATCGGCTTCCGCCGGTCCGCGGCCGCGGTGCTCTGTCCATCCGTCAAGGACAAAGTCGGCGCTCAATGATGCGCTGCGGTGGAAGTAAAGTTTCTTGAATTTTCAGATGGGCGTAGCACGGGGCAGCTGAGACGAGGAGCTGCGCGCTCACGTGTTTGGCATTCGAGTCATGGTGGTTTGATTGCGGGGGGCCACCATGGTAATCTTCATCACGGCCATGGTGACGTTGTTGGCGAGCGTCGAATTGATGGTGATGATCATGGTGATGATCATGATGACTCCCGACACAGTGATTAGATGCCCATGGTGCTCATATTCAATGTAATGGATCATGATCATCCTGATGCTGATGGTCACAGTGATGCTCCACTCTCCCCCCTGACTCCCAGCGAAGAGACGATGATGCTGTGGCTGAACGGGGCTTGATCCAATCCTGGATGGTTCTTGGTATTATTTTGTTAGATTGAAATACGGTGGGATCAAGTCCCGCCCCCTGTCAAGTCCCGTCCCGCGGTCTATCAAGTCCTGGAACAGCGCCAGGCCGAGTCGCATATTCCTATGGCTTCGAGATTTCTGCCAAGATGGTCTCAATACTGTCCCCACGTGATTCCAAGGATGCCCATAGAGGCTCCCGAATGCTCCCTCCTGCCATCCATCACACTCCTTCTTCTTGTCCTACTTCTCCACCTCCTTCTCATTTGGTCCCGGATACACCCTGGTGACGGCGACTGGACTGCTCAACTTCCGACTCAGAGCGTCTCCTGTGCCCGCTCCCCCTTTACGTCTCTCATCCTTCCCACCCTCCTGCCTCCCTTGACCCTCCTTCCTCTTCCGACGTCGCTCCCTCCTCCTCCTCCTCCTCCGCCTCCTTCTACTCGTCGCCCCTCCCTCCTCTGCCTCCTCGCTCCTGCTCCTCCTCCCCACTTCTTGTTCCTCCTGCGTCTTTTTCGTATCCTTTCCCCACACCACCTCCTCCTCATCGTCGTCCTCCCACCTTCTCTCGTCTAGACAATTCCAGAAACACGTGAAAACACGGGGAAACAGAAGAGGCCCGCCGACACCCCCGCAAAACAGTCGAACTATCCTCAAACCTATTCTTGCTTCTCCTCCTGTTCTCCCTCCCTTCCATCCTCCACCCTCTTCCTTCCTGAGATCCCAAGAAAGGAAAACACTCTCTCCCCTCCCCCCTCTCTCCGCCTCTTCTCTTACATGTTCGACCACTGCTTGTTTCACATCGGCATTCATCGGTTATCATCGGTCTCCAGCCTTTTTCCGCGCGAAAGCCAAGCGGTTGTGTTCAACAAGGGGGCTATGATCGAACACTCAACTCCTCCTCCCCCCTTGTACAACTACACAATTTGAATACTACATATTCTCTCCCCTGGTGACGTCCGGGAAATGTTCGGCACCCCTCCGCGTACTGGTTTTTTGCACAGCATTCCTGGGAAACGGATTTTCGCGTTTTTTCTCCCGAAATGCTGCTCTCACTGAAGTGCTGGCATCATTTTCGGGCTACCGCTTGTTCCGAATCCTTTCCCGCTGCAGCGCTGGCCTCATTTTCGCGCTTCCACTCGTTCCGAATCGTGCTCCCGCTGCAGCGCTGGCGTTATTATTTCTAGCGCCATGCCACGGCATGGTTTTCGGTCCTTGCGCCCCAAATCCAAAGAATGCCCCCCGAAACACCCATCAGAAGTGATTACACATTCGGTGTCGATTCGTTAATTTTTTGGGTCGCAGCCCCCAATTTGGGGCGTCGCCACGCCATGCTATGTCAGGTTACGCGTCCTCCGAATCGTGCTCCCGATGCAACGCTGGCCAAATTTCCGCGTTCCGCTCGTTCCGAATCGTGCTCCCGCTGCAGCGCTGGCGTCATTATTTCCAGCGCCATGCCACGGCATGGTTTTCGGTCCTGCCAAATACGCCCCAAACTCTAAAAAATGCCCCCCCCCCCCCCCGAAACACACATCGGAAGTGATTACACATCGGGTGTCGATTCGATGATTTTTTCGGCAACCCCCCCCGATTTGGGGCGTCGCCACGCCATGCTATGTCAGGCTACTCGTTGATCTTCAACACCATGCTATGCCATGTAATGCTATGCCCTGCTGCAACATCCGACTGTTCGAATAGAGAGGAGATCTACGCCATAGTAAGCGATGGAAGGGAAGGGTAGGACGTCAGATATGGCGCGAGCGCACCTAGCTTGTCCTCCCCCTTCCCCCCTCCTCCCTTCTTCTTCCTCCTCCTGCATTAGAATATTGTGGGCAATGGTTTCGAGCAGAAAATCCCTTTTCCTCCTCCTGATCCTCCTGATCCTCCTCCTCCTCCTCCTCCTCCTCCTCCTCCTCCTCCTCCTCCTCCTCCTCCCTCTCTCCCACCCACCCCTCTGCCACCCCTCCTCTCTCTTCTCTTCCCCCCCCTCCCCCTTGCCTCAGGAGGAGGAGGGGGAGTAGGAGGAGAGGGAGGAGGAGGAGGAGGAGGAGGAGGAGAAGGAGGAGGAGGAGGAGAAGGAGGAGGCCCTCCCTCCCTCCCCTCCCGCCCCTCCGGCGCGCGCCGCGCCGCCACCAGAGGGGTTCCGCCCCGGGGCGCCGCCCGCGAGGGAGGGGCGGGGGCGCCCGCGGGGGGCCCCGCGGCGGACTCGGGCCACTGGGGGCGCCGGACCTCGCCGTCGCCGCCCGCGACACCGTTGTCGCCGCCGCCGCCGCCGTCGCCGTCGCCGCCGCCGTCGCTGCCGTCGTCGTCGTCGTCGTCGTCGTCGTCGTCGTCGTCGTCGTCGTCGTCGTCGTCGTCGCTACCGTCGCCGTCAGCATCGCCGTTGCAGTCGCCGAAGCCGCCGTCGCGTTCAGCGTCGCCGTCTCCGTCGGCGGCGCCGTCGTTACCGTCGTCGTCGTCGTCGTCGTCGTCGTCATCATCGTCGTCGTGTCATCGATGGTTCATATCTTGAAAATACTTCTTGCACCCCGCTTGAGCGCGGGCTTGGGTCCCAATCCCTGCCCTTGAAGGCCCAACTACGGCGACAGCGGCTCCCGTTCGATAAATACACCCCTGCTGAGAGATATGGGCATTTTCGGTAAGAAAACGGACTTCCCTCTAAGCGCTCTCTCAAACAGTAGTCCCAGTCCAGATATACGAACATTCTACGAACACAAGAGGCTCAAAGCAAACGCCCAGGGTCCAGTCCAGCATCTGGATTTTCTTCACCCACCGAAAGCAGGAGTCCATGGAATTTGAAGCTTATTCTTCAGATTTCTGCTGGGTGTACGTCCTCCCAGTTACTCTGTGACGCCATGGCCAAAGAGACGCCCGCCGCCGCCGTCTTCGTCTTCGCCTTCGTCCATCGTCGTCTTGCTCCTCCTCCTTGTCCTGGTCGTCGCTGTCGTCGTTTTCGTCGTCGTCGTCGTCGTCCTCCTCCTCCTCCGGCTTCTCTTGTGGGGACTTTCAGTGTGGCTCCCTCGCCCTATCGGCCGAATCAGTCGATACGCTGGTCGTCCGGGGCCCTTAGGGCGCTGATGCCCCTCGTCGTCGTCGTCGTCGTCGTCGTCGTCGTCGTCGTCGTCGTCCTCCTTATCCTCCTCGTTCTCCTCCAGGACGTGGAGACTGAGGAGGACGAGGTGTGGAAGGAGGAGGATGCGCAGGAGGAGGATGAGGAGGAGGAGGAGGAGGAAGATAGGAGAAGAGGAGAGAGTAGAGAAGGGACAATGAGGAGGAGGATGAGGAGGAGGAGGAGGAGGAGGAGAAGGGTAAGGAGGAGAAGGAAGAGGAGGAGAAGGAGAAGGAGAAGGAAGATCCTTCCTGCTGCCTCTTCCCTCCTCGCTCTTCCCTCCGCCTCTTCCTCCAGTTCCTCCTCTCCCTCCTCCTTCTCTTATTGGGCTTTTGTGCTGTCGTGGAACCCTCGATCCAATTGAATCTGTCGTTGTCCTCCTCCTCTTGTTTCCCCTCCTTCTTCTCTCCTCCTTCTTTTCCTCCTGCTTTTACTCTCCCTTCTCCTCACCCTCATCCTCCTCCCACCCTCCTCCTCCACCGCCTGCTTCGCCCCTCCTCTGCCTCGTCAGCGCCGTGGCTCTCAAGACCATCCAATCCCCGATGACAGGAGGCACCGGAAGACCCGCGTGAACTTTCGGAACGCATGGTCGATCGTCCAATATCTGCATGTGTCGTGGCGCAAGAGGGTACGATACGCATCTGGCACGGACGCGTGCAAACGAAGAGGTTTACGTCCAGTGCTGGACGGGCGTGGCGCGGCGAACGTCACCTGACAGGACGGTGTGCTGAAATATCGGGGCATGCAAGAAAGACAACAGCACATGGAACACGATACTGAATGCGATGCTACATGACGATGTCCTTTGACTTCTCTCCCATGCTCCTCCTATCGACCCTGCCTGCGCCGAAATTTCCTCTCCCATCTGCGCATTGTTTTACCTCCGGCGATCGTCGAGAGATCACATGGAAGAAACAACCTTCCATGCGTGACACTGCGAGCAGCGCGCCCCCCTCGCGCTGCACCCCGAACATATTCTACTCGGTAGAATTCGCGCAACTGGCATGAGGAGTCGTTGGGGGCGGAGTATGAAAAGGAGAAAGCGCCAGTGGAGGGGAAGGGGTATGCAGAGGCCGAAGTTGAGATAATGACACACGATACGCTGGCCGTCAACTTCTTCGGATCAAGGGGAGGCCTGGGCACACCCACGATAACGGTCACTAACACCCAACTGAGAAACCTCCTTCGACCAATACGGGAAGAAATCCTCCGCGATATGACAGGACTCACCACGCAATTGTCCCCAGACCAGAACCTACCTCCCAGGACATGGCCTCCCTGTGTCCTCCAAGTGCGCGCCGAGGATCGCATGCAACAACGCCTCCTGGGGCAACAGCAGCGGAAACCAACCCAACTGCAATACGCCACGGCCCAAAAGCTACACACGAAGACTCCAACTACTACGGATTATCCAGCGGCGCACACGGCAACATCTTCGCCACGAGCTGGCGGTTGGCAGCAGACCATCGCATATTTCCACCAAATATGCCCAACCTGCAACTTCTGTGCAAGTGCACGGCGACACAGAAAGGACGATGAACACGTCAACGACCCAATCGGGACCCATGACAGGTGGCTCCACCTCATCAGTGCAGCTGACACCCATATTCGACATGTCTAGCCACTTGGCAGAAGCATCAACTGAACATGGTCTTGCCGATGACGGTATCACGACGGCAGGCGGGCAACGACCTCTGAGAGTCACCATGACACTGCCAGTCTCGATCGCCTGCAACACCGAATGCCCCCCCTGTGACAGTCATCAACAACCAAAAACAAGTACACTAATCCCACCAGCCCTTTGGGCGTGAGTGGTTTAGCGAGCTCTCTCTGTTCTCAACCCCCCTTCTTCCCCTTCGGGGAAGGGTTTACCCCTCCCCCTACCCCCTCCCCCTGGGCCTCGAGAGGGCGCCCCGCGGGTCGTTGGAGGGGTCTTTTTCGACTCCTGGGAGGGCTAAAAAACGACGACCCTCACGAGGATTCTGGCCCCGACAGGGGGGCACAATTTGGCCCCCTCCTCTTCTTTGAAGCCAAAATCATTCATTTTACTACGGTTTTGGCCCCATTTTGGCCTCCTGAGGGGGCAGCGCTCCTCTTCCTTCATAGCAAAATCATTGATTTTACGAAGGTTTTGGGCTCATTTTGTCCTTCTCAGGGGGCAGCGCTCACTTGCGCTTCTGAGGAGGTCGCAAGAGGCCCCAAGATGGCCCCCAGAGGCCCCCAGGAGCCTCCCAAGAGGCCTCCAAGAGGCCCCCAAGAGGCCCCCAAGAGGCCCCAAGAGGCCCCCAAGAGGCCCCCAAGAGGCCCCCAAGAGGCCCCCAGAGGCCCCACGAGGCCCCCAAGAGGCCCCCAAGAGGCCCCCAAGAGGCCCCCAAGGCCCCAAGAGGCTCCAAGAGGCCCCCAAGAGGCCCCACGAGGAGCCCGAACGACTCACACCAGGACGAGGGGCCCGAACGACTCACACCACGAAGAGCCCGAACGACTCACACCACAAGGAGGGGCCCGAACGACTCACACCAGGACGAGGCGCCCGAACGACTCACACCACGAGGAGCCCGAACGACTCACACCACGACGCGGGCCCCGAACGACTCACACCACGAGGAGCCCGAACGAGTCACACCAGGAGGAGGGGCCCGAACGACTCACACCAGGATGAGGGGCCCGAACAACTCACACCACGAGAAGCCCGAACGACTCACACCAGGACGAAGAGCCCGAACGACTCACACCACGAAGAGCCCGAACGACTCACACCAGGAAGAAGGGCCCGAACGACTCACACCAGGACGAGAAACCCCAAACGACTCAAATCACGAGGAGCGCTTTCTCTCCCTCCTCCTCCGCCTCGTCCTTCTCCCGCTCCCCCCACAAGGAGGATGTACAAGGAGGCGGGAGGAAGGAGGAACAGGGGAGATATGCGGGGCCAAGCGGACACACGCCTGAAAAACACGACTGTCGGCATGCTTCGCAAGAGTTGCTGCTGTGAGATGGGCTGGTGGGGATACGCGAAGCGTAAAGAATTCACCCTGACGGTCCCATGCAGGCATTGGGTGTAATCACAGCAGGAGGGGCCAGGACAATTCCCAGAAGAAAGCTAACAGCAGTGCTAGGAGTGCTACCACAACAGACTTTCTTTGCCGAGGTTGTGAGAACAGCCAGTGGAGCTTCGCCTACATCTGCCGCTGACATCGCCTCCGGCGTGGCGAGAGCCACCTTCCTTCACCTTGCATGGGCGAACACCAACGCCAATAGTAACACAATGCGCTCAAACAGCGTACGTGCACAGCGGCCTCGCACTGCTCCCCTTGTGACTGCTACGCATACGTAGCATCGAAAGAACGTTTCTACACCCTAGCATTCGCGTTGCGCAGGTGGTTGTCGTGTATGCCGACATGCAATGTGGCCCCGCGGCCGTTTTGCGAAGGCGGATGGGCTTATGCCTCGGCGGACAGAATTGGCACCCCACGGTGCGCCACTGGGGACGCAGCAGAGGACCACCGTACCACCGCATAGCGGCACCGACGCAACGCCACGTATTCGCAAACCGTTTCTCAATAATTTTTTCCCGTCCGTCTTTCGTCGCCTGACCGCCCGCCGCGTCCTGCATGCCGCTTTAGTGGCACTCTAATCTATCTCGCATTGGGCTGTCGTAGGCCAGCCGATCTCGCATCCCACAGCCGCGGCACCACGCTCCGCTACTACCAGGGAAGAAATGCCTGGAGGCCTTGATTGCTCAGCCGAAAGGGGGAACAATGATGCGTGCCTACATGAAGGTCTACCTTTGGCTCTGCGATCACGCAAGGCGTTGCCGACTGCCTTCAGCTCTGTGGTAAGCGTCGAGAAGAAGCAGGCCTTCCCCCTAACCGCACGGTCTTGCCGCCGCGGAAGTTTAAGCTTTTCTGGTCACAGTGGGCCCCGCCCTGCGCGGTATGCGCCACCGATCTTCACGGCTGTGACCACGCGCCATAGCGCGCACAGTCGGTCGTTTCTGCCGACTCGCCGCTCTGCTCTGCTAGCTCCTACCCAGCAGTCAACCATCATCCCCTGTGGCTCGGCCGCCCCTTCTCTTCTTTGCCTCTCCAGCACTGGACTGGGGAGGCGCTC